CTGCAGCTCTCTGCAGGTATTTTGTCCCACTCCTCATGAGCAAACTGCTCCAGTTGTCTCAGGTTTGAAGGGTACCTTTTCCAGATGGCATGTTTCAGTTCCTTCCAAATACACTCAACAGGATTTAGGTCAGGGGTCAAAGAAGGCCACTTCAGTATAGTCCGATGTTTTCATCTTAGCCAGTTTTGGATGTTTTTAGCTGTGTTTCCTGTCATTATCCTGTTGTAAGACCCATGAGCTGCGACTGAGACTAAGCTTTCTGACACTGGGCAGCACATTTCTCTCTAAACGCCCTTGATAGTCTTGAGATTAGGGATGGGTACCTTTGACATTTGAAGTAAATATTATAAAAACATGCCAGGGGTTACTAGGATGCAGTGTTGTTTTTGACTGCCATTTTAATTTTAGTCTTAGTCTTTTGAACAAAAATTCTTCTTAGTTTTAGTCAGTTTTAGTTATTTCTATATTTAATGATTTTAGTCCAGTTTTAGTCGACGAAAACTTAAAAACTGTTTAGTTTTACGTAGTCTTAAAAAAACACCATATTAGTCTTTACAAATTAATTTGAGTAATTTGTGTTAACAATTGTGAATTTGTGTTACTCTAAAAATGCCCAAAACAAAAACATTCTCACTTTGTGGCTTTATTTCTCAGAATTTGCTAAAGTGCAATGAACATACAAAACACACATGCCCAATATTATAAGCAATAAAGAAGAACACACATGTTCAACTCAGACTTGTCAGCCAGGACCATGAAGTTATAAAAATGGACATCTTGCTGTCCTAAACTTAGTTAGTAGCCTATTAAACTTGTGCAAACGAGTGTTTACATGCACCAGGCTTTTAGCACTGACATGCGCAGTTGCTAACTACCCCCACCAAAAAAAAAAATCAAACCACAGAGAAGAGTTTTATTTTCGTCATGAACGTAAACAAACAGCTTCTGAGCTCAGAATGGACCTGCAACAGCTTTTAGTGGTGGAGATGATACTCTTTGGTTAAGCTACAGGTGACGGACTGACTTTTTTTTTTTGCGAAGCGGCGCAGCCTGTGAGAGAACGGGAGGAAATGTTGTGTGCTGCTGTGTGTGCGCGTGTGTGTAACAGCGCTGCTGTCCCTCCCTCCACTCTACGTTCTAAATGATTGACAGACCACCGACTAACATTTTCGTCCAGTCTCGTCTCGTCAACGAAAACTCACACGTTTCATCACGTCTTAGTCATCAAAGAGCTATGTTTATTTCATTACCGTCTCGTTATCGTCATGAAAAAAGGAGGCGTCAACGAAAATATTTTGTCATCGTTAACGAAAACAACACTGTGAGGATGTCAGTAACTCGTGTCACAGACATCAAYTCATTCTTTGATCTACTCGTGCCCAGTTCAAAAATTATTCTTGAAGAGACTATAACAAAGGTAAGATGTATACATCTGGACACATCTGGACAATGTGACACAAGTGGGTTGATATAATTCAGGCCCTCAGTGGATGAAAAGCTTGTGGGATTCAGAGCTTGCTGCTCATTTAGGCAATAAAGTTTATTTTCAATACAAATTTTCATGACTCATTTGACTTGGTTTTTAATTAGAGGGTCAATTTGACCCCAGACAGAATGGGTGTCTCAAGTTCAATTATAAACATCACTCCTAGAAAAAAAATCTAAAAAAAATCAATTTAATGAATAATATTGATTGAAATTGTTAGTAATGGAGTTAATAATCCGATATAAAAATGTTTTGGGTGATTTTTTTTTGTTTGTTTCTGACACTAGCATGATTAAACATTCCTAAATTGACCCAGGAACATTATTGRTGTTCCTCAGAAACAAGCACAACAGGAAGGTTAACATGCTTGTCTATATATTTTTTTCTAATGTCCTGAGACAACTCTTTGCTTCGCTTCCTCTGGTCCATGTTGAGTGTGGTCCACACCATGTCACCAAACATCACAATGAGTATCTGTAGCCCTATATACAGGCCCACTGACTGATTACAAGATTATAGACACCTGTGGTGCTAATTAGTGAACACTTGTTGATTTAAAATGTCCCTTTGGTTACATTATTTTCAGGGGTACCATCATTTATATCCAGGCCTGTTATGCCCCTTTTCCATGGTGTAGTGTCGGTGTACGTACGGGTCGGTACGGGTCGGACCGGTTGGTTTTCCACTGATGTTCCAGTCTGGTTTCAATGGGTGGGTTTTGGGCAGTTGATGGAGGTGGTTTTTAGGTTTTTTTAAAAAAAAAAAGAATTTAATGGGCAGAAGATGGAAACACATTTGATGAATAACTTCTGAAATTTTAAAAATTTGCAAAAATTTAGCCAATCAGTGATGAACAGTGTTGTGACGTCGCATTTTGGTGTCAGCTGGGGCCGGTTGGAACCACAATGAGGAAGGTACTTAAAAAAAGTGCCGGTTCCATGGATCTGGCCTAATGGAAATGGCGTGGAACCATGCCGACACTACACTAAGTGGCACTAGTGGAAAAGGGGCATTACATGAGTTTTATTTATTTATTTTATAATTCTGTTAAAGCATGGTTGAAAAGCACCATCTGGCTTTCATTTGTTCATTTTCTTCGAAATTTTATTTATTATTATTTTTGTCAGATTTTAGTTATTTCTGTGACCATCAGGTTTTTCTTTCATTAAACGAGGGGTACCAACAATTTTGTCCACGTGTTGTACTTACTCCAAGCTTCTGTTTAAAATGTTACTGCTTCAGTTCAAAAGAGTTTAACAAAATATTGAAAAAACATATTTTTGTTTATTTATCCACACAGTTGGGTCAAAAGGCAACAGGTCCAAGAAAGGAACCCAAGACATCTTTTTTCTTAGCGACATTCTTGGTGGGATGTACCCGAAACACCTCCAATGGCTAGCAAGAGACATCCTAATCAGAAGCCTGAACAACCTCCGCTGACTCCTTTTGATATAGAGAGGCATTTCTAGTCCGAGCTCCTCCCAGATGACGGAGCTTTACACTGTATTGCTAAGGCTGAGCCTAGCCATCCTACAAAGAAAGACAATTCCAGCCGTTTGTATCTTGTTTTTTTTTTTTGTTCACAACTATGGGTGACAGTTGGATTGATGACAGGCCAGTGAATCGAGAGCTTTGTCTTTAGATTAAACTTTAAATTTTAAATTAAAATAGACTTGCAACTTGTCCAGGATATACCCACGTCTCTGACAGTGAATGCTGGATATGGGCACCAGTGACCCCTGTGACCCTAAAAGGCAGAAGTGGATAAAGATGATGAATGAATGGTTGGACAGACTGAAGCAACACCCTAATTATTGAGGATGTTGACCCGATTTGTCGATTCATCTCCCACTCCATCCTATCATCACTCATGAACAAGACACTCAGATAAGGTGCCTGCAAATCTGAAGCCACAAAATCCATTCTCGTTGCAGTTGTGTAACAACAATTGTGTCAACAACAATGTCATTTTGCTTCAGTCTGCTTCCAGAAATCAGCTGTTGTGCATCCAAGCAACATGGCATGTTTTGAGGAGCAGTTGTATCATGTACATCCATCTTTAAGACTCTTGTAGACACTTATAAAGATAGTCAAATGGTCAAAAAATCACGGATGAAGATAGCAAAGACATTGTGCACAGAGGAATTTGTCTGCTGAAACATGTGGTGCTCTAATTGTAACAGATTTGTGGCCAGTGTGGAGAAACCTCGTTCTGTTACAGGTACAGCAGCTAATGGAGTTTCCCAGGAGGAAATCCTTTAATACCAGTAATTACGGTTGACTCAAGTACATGAATAAAACCTATAAGAAAGTAAAATTTTCCTTAAATGCATCATAACCTTTTTTCTTTTTAAATTATTAGCTGGTATTAGCCTGAAAAATCAGGTCCCTCTGATCACAGGTCTGTTTTTCAGACCCCCTGACTCTCATCACTCTGGTTTCCCCATCACTTCTTGTCTGCTGTTGCTTGGACTGTTAAGGATTATTTGTATGAATTACCATTGATGAACTTGAGTAGTGAGCAGACACTGGCATGGAGATGGATGACATGGCCTTGAAATGAGGCAAATGCCTTCATCCATCATCCCAACATAGAGCTCTCAGTGGAGGGAAGCCGTGGTCTACAGCAGGCATCCAGGAACAACAGATAGTGGGGAAAGGACAGGGCTGAGCTCAATTGTTTTCTTGCCTATTTTTGTTTATTTAAATGTTTTTTTTTTGTTTGTTTTTGTGGTGGTGGTGGTGGGGGGGGGTAAATTTCCACTACTTTCTTCCTGTCTGGAGATGGTAAACGAAGAGATGTTGCTGTCCTGATAAGCAGAGCAAAGAGAATTATAAAGTTGGGCTTTGTGGAACAAAGTAAACACATTATGGTATCTTTTGTGTGCTTGTACTCTTCTATGTTAAGACATATCTGTAGATTTTAACCTTTGAACTACTGTCATTTTTTATAGGTGGCATACCTGAGACTATGAAGTCTGAGGAAAAAAGCATTTAGCCCTAACCATGCTGTCTGCTCGTGAAATGAAATCTGGCCTGGGACAGCTGACAGAAGAACCACATGAACCATTTCTGTGCTAAGATTCAACTTGATGAGAGGGAGCAGAATGAAAGTATGGAGGATCTTGTTCAGCATGTTAAATGTTGGATTTGTGGTTCCTGAACCAAGTTGAAAACTGAGGCTGCCAGATTTCATAATATTCATGACTTGAACTGCTATTAAAACTAGAACTGACTTTGTAAGGTTTTTACCATACAGTACACATTTAATTTTTGATATTTTTAATTATAATGGGGATTTCATTCCTACACATATGCAGAATTGTACATTTGTCCATTTTTCAGCAAAAACAAGTAAACTGCTTTAAAAAAATAATCTCATTTATTCTTTTTTGGTAAGAACTGTTGTAAGATGTGGCTTTCCTAAAAAAACTCAGTGAACTAGCTTTCAGGGTTTAGTCTCAATCACCCCCAACTGTGTTGAAATAATTGTGGGTATTTGTGCAGCAAGTCTGTTCATGAAATATTTGTTACAACTGTACAACTGAGGTCTGCAGAAGAGCATCTCTGAACACACAACACATCAAACCTTGAGGCAGATGGGCTACAGCAGCAGAAGACCACACCAGGTGCCACTCCTGTCAGCTAAGAACAGGAAACTGAGGCTACAATTCACACAGACTCACCAAAACTGGACAAGAGAAGATTGGAAAAACGTTGCCTGGTCCGATGAGTCTGGATTTCTGCTGCAACATTCAGATGGTAGGGTCAGAATCTGGTGTCAACAACATGAAAACATGGATCATCCTGCCTTGTATCAACGGTTCAGGCTGGTGGTGGTGGTGCAGTGGTGTGGAGGATATTTTCCTGACACACTTTGGGTCCATTAGTACCAACTGAGCATCGTGTGTACACCACAGCCTACCTGAGTATTGTTGTTCAACATGTCCATCCCTTTATGACCACAATGTACCATCTTCTGACCATGTCCATCCCTTTATGACCACAGTGTACCATCTTCTGACCATGTCCATCCCTTTATGACCACAGTGTACCATCTTCTGACCATGTCCATCCCTTTATGACCACAGTGTACCATCTTCTGACCATGTCCATCCCTTTATGACCACAGTGTACCATCTTCTGACCATGTCCATCCCTTTATGACCACAGTGTACCATCTTCTGACCATGTCCATCCCTTTATGACCACAGTGTACCATCTTCTGACCATGTCTATCCTTTAATGGCCACAGTGTTCTATCTTCTGACCATGTCCATCCCTTTATGACCACAGTGTAACATCTTCTGACCATGTCTATCCTTTAATGGCCACAGTGTTCTATCTTCTGACCATGTCCATCCCTTTATGTCCACAGTGTACCATCTTCTGACCATGTCTATCCTTTAATGGCCACAGTGTTCTATCTTCTGACCATGTCCATCCCTTTATGACCACAGTGTAACATCTTCTGACCA